CGGGGACTCAGAATTTTTCTTTGTCCCACGCTCGTGTCATGTTGATTAATTCACCTTCACATTTCATTACCGAGCTTAAAATTCACCATCTTTATTAACTTATCAAAAGTAATCTTTGGAGAAAGTTGCCCCCAACTCTCCATATTGCGTGATGATAATATTGTAGGACAAAGTGAGGGAACTTTCAAAAGACCTTGTGGTAGTTTATTATCCCTTTTTAAAATCTTTTTGGTTGAATTTGTCCACACAGAGTTGATGTGGTAATTCATTGTATGGTTCAACTGGTCTGTGGTGAGAATAAGAATTTTGATTGGCTCCCTAAGCAGTCTGAATTTTGCAATACAGCCTCCCAAAAAATAAGTTATACATGTTATTTTACCCATTGATCTAAAAAAGTTTGGCATACGTCCGTACGCCAAGCCCAATACCTTGAAAAATAAGAAAGTAGCACCATTACCATAGGTATATCTTTGATATTGGGCATTTATGTTATGGTTAATTGACAGCTGTCAAAACAAGGTATCCACTGACCAGTATCACATGACCATATATCGCAGACTTAGCTTCGGAGCTCATCGAGGTTGCATGTTTTTGAAGTTGACTGCTGATCAGGTACTGGTTTTTGATTGGATCGCAGGGTTAAGTCGGGTTATTACCCTGGGGGAGAAGGAGGGAGTATGTGCAAAGGCAAAATTTTGGTGCAAATTAACCCTTGGTTGACTTGTCCTCCAACATATTCTTTGCACAACTGTCTTTTGGAAAGTCCCTGATATTTTGCATACGTAATTTCTAAATGGGTATAGTAAAAGTAGTGAAACCACACGCTGAACAATTACATGCTCACAACTGATCACTTTTTGAGTTTCTGATCCAAGAAAAACAAATCCTCTTTTTTGTTTACGGTTAATTATTGCAATCAGGAGCTAAGCTTTTGGGCTTGGCTAAATCTATATATTCTTGAACTAGCATGAGATCTGTTTTGGAGAAATATTAAGAATGGATCACGGAGACACATCAATTTATCAGCAGATTAAAAAGAGCCATTATAATAAAATAATTCTTTACTTCATCAAACTAGCTTGTTCGGTCCATATTGAAGAATATTGGTCTTGTTCTTTTTTTACAAGTTTATGGACCTTGTCTGCAGTTCGGTCCATAAACCTGCATAAAAAGAACTCAACTAATATTTCTCCAATACTGACCTCACGCTAGTACAATAACAAGTATGTCTTGCACCGATTGACACTAGCCCACTTAACCAGTCCAATCTCAGTCCTTTTGGGTGCTGAATACAAATTGTGCTTTGTCTCACCAAGATGGTCCAACTACTGCCAATTGAAAACAATTAAGTTTTTGTTGATGCCAAGAAATTTTAAAAATGAGTCACTGTAATTCTTTCTCCATCATTATGCGCAAAATATTTAATTTCTTTACACACCTAAAACAGTGGAATTAAACTAAACTCAGCCAAAAAGAATGCAAAATATTGCTGTGTCAATAATTTCTAATAACTGGACAGGACTAGGTGTTGAGTTTCTACAGCTCTTGATGAATTATGCAGTTTTAAAACAATTGTCTCAGTAGCTAAACTTCCTAGGGTCACTCTTGTGGTAGAATGTTAGTCCTTGGCCATTTCTACATGGAACTTGTTGCACTGTAGTAATTTTTTGAACTGTTTTGCAGGTAATATTCTTCCAGTACGGGCCTTGTGTTTGGTAACTAAAGATAAAAGATATGTCATGCTCATTATTGCAAACTGACATATTTCCTCTGTTTATTTCATGTTCAGAAATCTGTGCTTCCTATGCTCCAGTTGCTGTTGTTTGCAGCTCTTCTTCTTCTTCCATTCAGTGCAACTCCATTCTTTATGGTGTGGTGCTATCAGAAGCTTCTTCATCTTTCAGAGTCTGCATTTTTGATCATTGAAGCAGTGGAGATTGTTGTGGTTGTGATGTACATAAGCCAGTCTTTTGTGAATGAGATTGATGAACAGCCAGTTATAGTTAAGGTAGGCAATAAATTATTTCTTTTTTCCAGTATGTTCTGTTTAGAAATCCAAGAAAATGTTTCCTTTTGAGAACCCTTATGATAACAGTTTAAATGCTCTTTCAAGTGATCTTAAGCCACATGCATGAAGCCACTGAGATCTATAGTGGGGGGGGGGGG